CCCCTCAAGGCCAAATTCATGGATATCCCCACAAGGTTGGATCCAGATAATCTCCAGCCAGAGTTTCAATCTCCGGAAAACCTTCTTCCCAGCTGAGTTGGTCTCAAGAAGAATCCTCGAGGAGTTCTGCCAAAAGAAAACACTTCTCTAGTAGATTGGCAACAAGGTTTATTTCCCCAACAAACTATAGATTCCCCAGTTTGAGTTTGCCTCTCCGACTACTACAAATCAAGGGACCACAACCCATCTTATCCATTAGACTTTTCTACAATCCCCAGTGAGTTGTCGCAAAACATGGGAGACAACCAGATAACAATTGACTTCTTTATCCCCAACAAGTTGTTAACTTCCTTTCTCTTCCATCGAGAGATAACTCCCCAGTAGAGCAACAGACAACTAAGACTCCTGAACTATTTTCCCCAAGAAGGAATAAACACTCTCCACAAAGTTTCCCTCAAGTAAAACCAATGTCCCCCAACGGAATTCTCCTCAAACAATAAAAACAGGAATCCCCAGTTGAAACATTCTAAACAAGGTTTGGAGATGTGCACATTCTTCATCCCCAACAGCAATCTGGGATTTAACTTCCTAAAAATCCCCAGCATTTGTCAAGGATTTATTTTCCAAGACAAAGATACATTTCAACAACATTCATAGCATATGCATACGAAACGCATATAGCACAATCTCATTTATTTTGAGAAACATCATTACACCATGCATTTTATACATCATGACATTATATGCAACTAACTCTTTACCTTTTCAGGAAAGATCAATCAACAGATAGCTATCATCAACAATTTTCAAAAACGTTAGAGATTAATTCCTGAAACAATTCAGGATAACTATCTCAACGACCAACAACAAAAAAAACAAGTTCCAGATTAATACCTGAAACAATATGGGAAAACTATCTGTTGACGACCAATTGTAGATTAATACCTGTAATAAGCTAGGAAAGTTGTCTACATGAGCAAATTGAATATTAATATCTGTAACAAGCCATGAAAACTATGTTTCTTTCTAAGGTCAGAGATTAATACCTGAAACCATCCAGGACAACTATCTCAATAACCAACAAAAAAAGTTCTAGATTAATACCTGAAACAAGACAGGACAACTATCTGAGGACAACTATTTGTAGATTAATTCCTGAAACAAGCCAGGACAATTATCTGCACGACCAACTAAAGTAATCCTACACGGGCTCCTTCTCATACACTCTTCTAGAAAAAATTCATATGCGACCCAGATACGACTGACATTCTGATACTTATTCAAGATTATCTTCTAGAAATAGTTCATATGTGATCCAGATACGGCTGACATTATGATACTTACTCCATATTCTCTTCTAGAAACAGCTCAGGTGCGATCCAGATACGACTGACATTCTAATACTTACTCCAGATTCTCTTCTAGAAATAGTTCAGATGCAATCCAGATACGAATGACATTTTGATACTTACCCCAGACCCCCCTCCAGAAACAGTTCAGATGTGATCTAGATACGGCTGATATTCTGATACTTACTCCATATTCTCTTTTTGAAACAGTTCAGATGCGATCCAGATACGGCTGAGATTCTGATACTTACTCATGATTCTCTTCTAGAAACAGTTCAGATGCGATCCAGATACGGATGACATTCTGATACTTACTCCAAACCCCCTCCAGAAATGGTTCAGATACGATCCGGAGACAAATATTATTATGATACTTACTCCATACTTTCCTCAGAAACGGTTCAGATATGATCCGGAGAAGGATATTATTCTGATACTTACTCTAGACTTCCTCTAGAAACGGTTCAGATACGATCCAGAGACGGATATTATTCTGATACTTATTCCAGATTTTTCTCCTAGAAACGGTTCAGATCCAGATACGGATGTCATTCTGATACTTATTCCAGATTCTTTAAAATACAGTTCAGCTATGATCCAGATACGGATGTCATTCTGACACTCATTCAGCATATTTCTCAAATATAGTCCAGATACGATCCAGATGCGGATGTTATTCTGACTCTCATTCAATACATCTTTCAAATACAGTCCAGATATGATCCAGATACGGATGTCATTCTGATGCTCATTCAGTACATCTTTAAGATACGAGTCAAATGTGATCCATTTATGGATATTATTCTGATACTCATCCCATTACCTCTATTGTTTCAATATAAATCGACCAGAGATTTACTCTGATACTTCTTCCAATTTTTGTCAACAATCACTTTTGAGTGGAATCTATAAGCCCATATCTGACAACTCTCCATCATCTCTCTAAATGGCATCTTTAAGCCCATTCCCTACACAATCAACCACCACATCATCGATCGTAAATTTCTGGGAACTCTAGTGTTCAATCATCTTCCACCTTCAAGTCACGAATAGACGACTCGCCAATCTAAATCTTCAAGTTTAAGAAGATTGAACAGGGGCAGTTGTTGTACCCCAAAATTTTCACTCTCATTTCTCAAGACATTTCCTCACAATGATTTTCAAAAGTTCAAATTTGCACAAAGTACAATTGGGCGTTCAAGCATCAAATCAAAGAAGAGCATGCCTACTTCGATTTCACATCCTTTGATTGGGATTTTGGCCTCTTTTGATACAAGCTTGGCTTACATCCTTCGATTGAGCATTGACCCCTGACGTGCTTGCTTTGTTTCATAAAGCAACGGCTATCTGCATGCAGCCTTCGATTGAGCAATTACCTCTTTATTGCATGCTTCGATTCACAAAGCAATGGGCTCCCACCATGTTAGCGTACACAAGGAAAAAGCTTCCATATGGCTAGCATTCATATTAGCACCCACGGGGAATTGGCTATCTTCATGCTAGGTCTGACTGGGCAAAGTCTCCCTTTGAAACAACTTACTTTCGATTCACAAGGGCAACGCATATCTTTATACAAGCTTCGACTGGGCATTTGTTTCCCTTTAAAACAACCTCCTTTAATTCAAAAGGGAAGGGCCTCATGTTGGTTTCCTTCAATTCTGAAGTTAGTGGATTCATGCTAGCTTCTTTCGTTTCAGAATACAATGACCTTCTGAAAAGCGTCCTTCGATTCAGAAGGCAATGGCCTTCATAAATATTTCTTTGATTTACAAAGCATGGACCTCCTGCATGCATCTTTCTTTTGGGCATGTGGCCTTCTTTGTATGTAAGTTTAGTTTACATCCTTTGTTTGGGCATGTGGTCGCCTTTTATGAAAGCTTTGGGTTACATCCTTCGTTTGGCCATGTGACCTCTTGCAGGCAAGTTTCGGTTGGACAGTGTCTTTTCATGCAAGCTTTCGTTTGAGCAAAGGCCTCTTGCATGTTTGCTTGGAGTCACAAATCAGTGACCCCCTATAGGCAAGCCTTCAATTGGACAAGGGATACCTTCACACAAGGCTTCGATTGGAGTATTGATTCCCTGTGAAGAAACATATTTAGAATCTAATTTGAACCCTTCGAGCAAGCTTGGTTGAAGAACATTGAACAAATCTCATAGTCTTATCCTCCAAACCTTACTTGTCAGGTTATGTTGCTTCCAAATATTTACATGAATAAAGGCTTACACAAATTTGTGATACATTACACGAAGGTTCAAAGCTTTATCTACTGGATAATACTATTCTTGGATAAAATGGCAAAAAGCTACACACCCTTTTTTTCATAAAGAGTACTTTAATCACAAAGTTAGCTCCTAATCTGATTTTTGTCTGAATGCAAGCAGTGCTAAAAGCATAAGTCCAATCTCCTGTACCCAATAGACATCAGGCCCCACTTGTACCTGAAACTTGGAAACAACGAAAAGGGATCAAACTTGTTTTCATTTTCAACCAACCCATGGTTTGTTATCCTACAAACCTGGTTACTCCAACATATCTAACCTTTTCTCTATAAATAGAGAAACCATTTGCAAGCTGAAACAGATTTTGGTGGCGTGGGAAAAATCATCAAACTCTCAAACTATCAAACTCTAAAACTATCAAACACTCTCAAACACACTCAAACATTCTCAAACTTTCAAACTCTCACAAGAAACCTCAGATCCCTTCATGCATTAGTGAACCCTTCGATTCATTCCCTAATAGCAACATAATAGTCTTTCGATTCACTCCCTAGACTGTTACATAATAATCTTCGATTCACTCACCACTATCACACACCAACCTTCGATTCAGTGACTCTTCAAACAAAGCAGCAACTGAACCAGTTCAAAGAAGGTCCCTGCAGGCTTGGTCCATCATCGAATCCTTCCTGTAAGTCACATACAGCTCCTTCGATTGGCACTTCAAGAGTTAAGTTTCCTCTAAACTTGGAACTTTCCATTTAAATGTCATTTGTACATACAAATAAAAAAATGTAGATATTATGTCTAGGAAGTTGACCCTGCTTTTAGCTTCGATTTTCACTGCCTATACATTGAGAATCTCAACTCTGACTAGTTAGCCTTTGATTTTGGTGCCAAATAAACTTGAGCTAACCCCTGGCCTGTAGCTTTTGAAAGTTACCTTTGTTAGATTCATTTTCAAATTTTAGACAGGTTTTCTGTATCCGTCGATTGGCTAAACATTGAAGCCTTTCGAATCTCAACTTGGGAGCTTTGCATTCGTGCAATCGAAGGAGGGAAGTGGGAACTTCAAACATTCAGAAACAAGTTCATCTTGTACCCAATAAAAGTTGCCTTATGAACTAATGAAATAGATCACCCCAGTGGTACAAACAGCAAGCGCGAAAGGCATTTTTGTGTAGTGTCCTGACTTGAAACCTTGGCAGGACCAAAACAGTTTTTACCCTTTTGTTTGTTTCCTTTTTCTTTTTAACAAACTTCCAACATTTTTCTAATCAATCAAAACAACTCCTTTTGAGTTTATTTTTTGCGCACCATTTATTTACAAGTTTTATTTTATGAATATATAAAAATATCACAAAAAATATTTTATTTTCTTAATTATTTTTAATTAATCAAAACCTTTCCTTAACAAAAATTAAAATAAAGAACTTGAGGACTATCCACAACCTCACTCTGTTATTGGAGTTAGTGTTCTGTAAGTTCTTGATGTTTTGTTTTCGAATATTTTCTTTTTTCAAGTGTTTTTCTTCTTAATGTTTCACACACACGCCAAATGTTTATACCTTTTATATCATACATTTCATAGTACCCCATAGGCTAAGGTTAAAATTTCATGTTGTCTTATACAGAAAGCGTATCAGGATTAAGGAGATGTTAAAGGAGATAAGGGCTGCTTTAAGGCATTGCATTGATTCCAATGGAGCATTGGCTTCCAGTGTCACGCGATGAGATTTGCGTCCTATGCTGTCAAGCACTTACTGTTCAACGAGGCATTCTGCAAAGACAACAACACATAAATCGGTTCTGGTATTAATTTGGCTTTATCAGAGAACAAGTATTAAGAAAATCACCAGTTGGTTATAGACAAATTACTAACGTGATGTGAGACGCCAGAATCATTATGAGGTGATAGTCCAGGTTCCTGGACCTCATATTGTTGCAAGCAAGATAGGCAATTTGACATGTAAATTATATCAGTTGTACTAAAACTTTAAAAGATGCCTGTAAGATCCCACTACTAGGTATATAGTAAAGGAAATGTTGTACTCTATTTGTAATGCTAATATTATGGATATTGATATATTCTTAGGACAAAGGAAACATTGTACTCCATTGAATATTGAATTATGTACACTCAGGCCTATGTTATTGTTAAGTGTGCTTGTGGTCTTCATTTTTCTCCAAGTTATTTAGCTTTTGGATGCCTGTAATTCCATGAAATGGTAATGATGCCTGTTCATGGATCAATATGTGTAATCACTGTAATGTGAATTGTTAATTTGGTCAAAGATCAAAGAGAAATAATTATCGAGTTGAAAACTTACGAAACATTCACTGAGATACTCTAATACGACTGACATTTCAACATCATTAAGAAATTTGATAAAAAAATGAATAAATTGAACATAGTTACACATATTAATGTCATGCCTAGCACCAAACACATTTACATAAAAAATAAATTTAAAAAATGAATTGAATGTAATCATATGTATCAATTTTTAGTTCGCTTTAGTTTGCTTTATTGATGGGGCAACTACATGTTTGTGATCATTTATTAGGTGTAGTATGTTATTTTGATGTCTTAGCAACATTGTTGTTCCGATAACATTTAGCACTTATGCTTAATTTCTCTATTGAATTGGCTTTTTTTAGTGTAATCATGTAAACGACGTAAATAGATCAATAACAACTTCATAGTTTCTTTTCATTCAAATACTTGTACATTTATTCACATTCAATATGGTTGTAATAGATAATTAGAATTTCATTTCTTGCAACCCCCATTTGTACATTTGTATCCCCATCCCCAAGTGATGTAATAGTGTAATAAATTTACTTTCCACAATTTACCGCTTTCATATGAATGTTAGTAATTAGGGTGTATGGCAAGATAAAACCAACAAGTATACAACCTGAAATTCAAGACAAAAATGCATGCAATCATACAAACTTGCGCACATGCAACTCTAGGATAATCTCACTTGTTACCTCGGAAAATAGTCACTTCCCTCAAATATGGGCGTTTTAGCAAAGACCCTTGATAAAAAGACCGTATTCCCTCGATGACCCTCAATGTTGCCTTCGGTAAACGATCCAGTCCCTAATGAAAATTGCAAAAATATCTCATACGTTTCCTTCTATGACTATACAAATGACCCACACCCATCTCTTCACATCCAACGATGGGGCTTCTTATCAATTACTGGTAAGATAGCAACATCTAAAGGAGGAGGAAAAGAACATAGACCTTTCAAGTAGGTAGGACGCTCGTAGTTGCTTGCTTGCTCATGATTAAAAAAACATTTCTCACACAAACACTTTCAATTGAAACATTTTGAAAAGTCAAAGCTCTTTGTACGCATTCTTATAGAGACGAGAATCATTACAAAGGCACTTTTCAAAATCACTTTCAAATAACATCTTCCACAAACATCTCTTTGAACTATTTTCAAAACCAACACTTTGTACGCATTCTTATAGAGACGAGAATCCTTACAAAGACGTTTTTAAAATATTTTCAAACCTACACCACAAAGCACATTTTCAAACAAAACCAAGTGATCTAGCAAGAAACTAAGATCCCGTAGATAACTACGGATGAAAAGGGTGTTAATACATTCCCTTTTCATAACCTACCCCCTCGAACTCAAGAAAACATCTCTAAAGGTCTTTCATGTTCTTCTCAACCTTTCCTTTGTTGAATAAGTAAAAAGTCGGTGGCGACTCTTGCTCTCCGCAATAATTGCGATCAAGCGTAAAATACCCAAGTCATGTCTCCCACTGTGTTACAACTAGGAATAAGAATTGTTTATTTGTTGTTTATGAATTAACGCGCTAACAATGCCTAATTTTTATTTGAATTGGCCTAGGGAATTAAGGGATTATTGTATAAATTAGTGAGCTACTTACCAAGGAACTTGGTGTAGTGGTTATGTTAATTCGCAATGAGATAATAATATGATTGAAACTCAACAGGTACATGGTTCACCAACAAGTAAAAATAAGGGGATTCGATAAATATTCTTAATCGCCTTTGTAATCTTGAATTTCACCTTTTTTAATTCTCTCTTTAGAACCACTTTTCTAACAAAACCACCCAATTACTTCCTAAATTTTGCAATTAATTTTATTGTTAAATTCCAATCCTCGTGGAGACGAATATTTTATTATTACTTCAATGTTATCGATACAATTATCGAGAGGTCATCAAGGCCTTTGAGCCAGAAGATGTTGGAAGGATTGATTGATCTCAACCTTAGGGAAGACGTGACAGCCTTGTGATAAAAGAAAGAAAGAAACGAGTTATGTTAGAACATAGTTTGGTTCTACATCCTTATAATAGTTTTGATTATAAAAAATACATGATATTTATAAATAAAAAATATGCTCTCTAAATTATGTATTGAAATATGCAGAGAAATTTTGATATAAGAAGCATAGAAGATGATTAGAGAATCACGTTTTTGAAGCTTTGATTAGACACAACAAACTTAGAAGCAAATCCATGTAATACGCTAAATAGAAGAAGTTCTGATGTTATAACTTCTGAAGCACCAATGCTGCAAGGAAAGCTATGATATTCTGATAAGTAAAGTTTTGCAAGAACAAAAGAAATCTCAACGCACTCGTCTATACAATTGTTCTAAAGATTCAGCACTAAAGTTACACTCTGATAGTAAAAACTCTGATTTGAAAAAGAAGCTTCAACGTATCATTCAAGTTCTAATGAATATCAAATAAACTTTGAGGATCTAAAGTCTCAACGGTAATATTCTTATAAGATCCCAAGGAAGCAAAGTTTTGATACGTTACAACACATTCATTACAAATCAAAAAGTAACGGCTGAACTAAGACAAGATCTATATTTTTGGAAAGTGCACTAACAACATTTTACCAACCTTCCAACAAAATATTCTCATGTCTCATATGCCTCACCTATATAAAGAAGACTTGAATAAAAAATCACATACAATACTACTGTGTACTCAAAGAGAAATATTGTTACCAATTTTATCATGTGCTTTACACTTGTGTATACATCACTGTTGTGATATAGTTTTGTTTAGAAACATCATTATACACACTTATTTGATTTATTTTGTAATACCTTGAGAAAAATATAGTTGTGGTTTGAACTCATGAAGACATTGACAGTAGTCATTGTATCTGTGTAATCAAGTTTTGATTAGTGGATTAAGACCTCGATTGAGAGAGGCAGAATCACCTTGGCGGGTGGACTAAAGTAGTTTGAGTTCAAACAAACCAGGATAACCAATGTGGCATACTATCTTATTTTTTAAAACCCTAATTCAAGTCCCCATTCTTGTGTTTTTCCATTCTTCAATTAGGATCAGAGCGCCTGGTTCTGGGGGCAAACACTTAACCGTGTCAGAAAAAGATCCTAGCAAGAAAAACATTATGGTGGGACCAAGTCAGGTCATCAACAATGATAACCATGATGGAAAGAAAGATTCAACGATAAACCTCTAATCTTTGATGGTGAGAACTTCGATTACTGGAAAGATATAATTGAAAGTTTCTTTATAGCTCATGATACTGATCTCTATGATATCGTGAGTGATGTCAACATTCATTCTAGTGATGAAAACAATCAGAAGATTGATAGAAAGAAAATGTCAGATCAACAAAAGAAAGAATTCAGAAACCATCACAAAGCCAAAACAATCTTTTTTAGTGTTATCTCATATATTGAGTATGAGAAGATCACAAACAGAGATTCTGCTAAAAACATGTTTGGCTCTCTGAGAATGACGCAAGAAGGTAACATACAAGTCAAAGAGACCAAAGCTCTTGCACTCATCCAGAAGTACAAAGCTTTTGAAATGGAAGAAGAAGAAGAAGAAACTATCGAGACAATGTTCTCAAGGTTTCAAACTCCGTAGTAGGTCACGTAAAGAAAATCATCAGAAGCTTTCCCAAGAAATGGAGGCCCATGGTCACAGCCTTAAAACTAGTCAAAGATCTGAATAAATTATCTCTTGAAGAACTTATCAACTCCTTGAGAAGTCATGAGATAGAACTAGAAGAAGATCAGCCTCAGAAGCAAGGTAAGTCTCTCGCTCTTAAATCATTTAAAAAATATGAACCTAAAGTTTTTCAGGCAAAAGAAGAAAACTCTGGTGGATCCTTATCAGAAGAAGACAAACTATCTCTTCTCTCTAGAAGAGTCAATCAGCTATGGAAGCACAGACAAAGGAAGTTTAGAAACTCCAGAAGAACGAGAAATCACTCTGAATCATCTTTTGGATACAGAAAATCTAGAAACAGAGATATTGTATGCTACGAACGCAACGAACCAGCTCACTACAAAAGCGAATGCCCAAATCTTCAGAAAGAAAAGCCTAAAAAGAAGTTCTCTAAAGAAAAGAAGAAAAATATTATGGCAACGTGGGATGACTCAGAATCTTCCGAAGCTAAAACAGAATCAGAAGATGAACGAGCCAATATAGCCTTAATGTCTAACATATCAGATAACACTGGATAATTTGAATCAAAATCAGACTCAGAAGCAGAAGATGTATTCTCTAATTTTTTTAGATCTCAATTAGAAGATAGTCTGTCAGAAATTCTTGAAAGTTATCAGCAAATTCGAGTTAAAAACAAGAACCTGAAATAGGATCTAGTATTTGACTCTGAATAAACTAAGAAACTAAAAACGGAAAACTCTAGTCTAAAAGAAACCATCTATAAACTTGAAAATGAA